TCTTGGTGGCTGCTCGGTGGAACACACAAATCCCGCCGCACCTGCCGTGCCTCTTGCAGCACGGCCCGACTAATCCTGGCCTCGCCCACCCGACGTGGCCTGCAGAAGCGATGGAGGCCTGCCCATCATCTCGTAAACCCCTGGTTCTCGCCTCAACTCGAAACCCTAGTCAAAACTTGCGCGTCGTGTCACTCAGTAATGTCCTTACCACGAGATCACGCACAACACTCCTGCTGCTGCTTCTCATCACAGCTGAACTCTGAAGATTATCGGGCTCCTCCGGAGGATGCATTCTAGAATGTTGGTATGCCCTTGTTGTGTGACCTCCAGAGTCCAAAGAGTGTTGTTAACGGCATGTANAGATCACGCACAACGCTCCTGCTGCTGCTTCTCATCACAGCTGAACTCTGAAGATTATCGGGCTCCTCCGGAGGATGCATTCTAGAATGTTGGTATGCCCTTGTTGTGTGACCTCCAGAGTCCAAAGAGTGTTGTTAACGGCATGTATTATCGTAGGGGGACATGAGGGAGAAGGAGGGAGGAAGAGTGCCAGGCCCAAACCCAGTCGGAAAGGGGGCCCGCAACTTGTATCCCAAGGTCTCCCCTAGCCCCCCCTCAAGGCAATCCCATCTGCGGTACACGAAACCGCCAGTGATTTGGTACAATCCGACTAATCTACCTCCACGCACGAACACGAATGAGGTGCACCCCCTTGATTGAATCTTGGTACTTCACAACGCAAGCAGAAACAAGGCCATCTGGCACAGAAAAAGAGAGAAAAAGATAATGTTGGAGAAAACGAGAAGAAAATCAAAGGAAACAGTAAGGCCATTTGTTACGATGTCTTGTTTTAGGCTGTCTTTTTTTCAAAAAAGAGACGACCCAAAAAATGATAACAAAAAAAGATAACCCCTGTGTGACGACGTCTTGGACGTCTTTTTCTGAAGGTGGGGTTTCTTGATGATTTTCACCGGCGTTCGNTGTTGGAGAAAACGAGAAGAAAATCAAAGGAAACAGTAAGGCCATTTGTTACGATGTCTTGTTTTAGGCTGTCTTTTTTTCAAAAAAGAGACGACCCAAAAAATGATAACAAAAAAAGATAACCCCTGTGTGACGACGTCTTGGACGTCTTTTTCTGAAGGTGGGGTTTCTTGATGATTTTCACCGGCGTTCGGCGTCCTGGAGCGAACTGATTTTTGAATTTCCGCCTTCACCCACGCCACAGACCGCGCACAGCACGAAACACAACGCCCCTCTGCACCAGCTCCTCTGCACACAGCCACATCCCGTAAAGCAGACCATGGATGCTATGAAACTAGATGGCGTACAGTCTCTCCCGCTGGAGTTCAACTCGTACGCCGAGACAGTGATTTCGATGCTGCGGGACAGGAGCTCCGGCCTGACGGACGCCAAGTTGCTGAAGCACCTCCAGAACGTGTGGGTGCATCGTGTACGCGTGCTTGGCGGTCAAGCGCAACGCCGGGGTTGTCTCCACACAGGCCAAGCACGCGGCAGCGGCGCAGGGGTAAAAGGACATCGCTATCCCTGGCTTCTTCAAGTGGCTCCAGGAAAACTTGGACAAGGAGGATTTCTTCTTGCAGCCGTGGCTCACGTTCGAGGTCATGGGGAAGACGTCCATGAAGGGAGGTAGGACACAACCAACGCGAGAGAGAGGCAGGTTTCGAGTGCGAAGATAACCGTCTTTAGGGAGAGGGACTGGGTGCGAGTGTGCACCTGACCCTCCGCGCCTTCATGATGTGCTGTTGAAAATGACATGCTCTACGTAGGGTGTGGGGTATATGGTCCGGCCAAAGGTTGTTTTTAGGTTGCAGTCAGGCCACGACGTGCTGCTGCAGCAGCAAGAGGAACCAACATGCTGCTGTAGGATACCTTGTCACGGCCCATCATTTGACCGGCAACCACAGAATGCAACCCGACACCAGTGTACCAGTCTGTGCTTAGCCTTTCGAGCCTCAGTTGCATGGCAACCGAGGCCCGTCCATTTCCTGGAGCAGTACCGTAAATGACACAAGATACCACACCCCCTTGACCGATTTTCAAAGCTCGATTACTCCACGACAACGAGGATGCACGAACGGAACGGTGCATTTTCGGAAAGCTCTCGATGAGACGGCTTCAACGCCGCCATTGTTGTCACTGTGACTCCTTTTGCTGTTGAGGAATGGGCCTTTGAAAATCGGTCCAGGGGGTGTGGTATCTTGTGTCATTTTTGGTACTCTTATTGAGAGGCATGGAGAGCAATGTTTGTAGTCCACAGCACGTCATCCAGCAGTAGGTAGGTATGTTTCGGATAGATCATTGCACATGTTTGATTTGCTACTACTGCTGACCATCAACTGCCACTGCTGTTCGACTGTTGTTCGACTTGCCTACCCCATGTTCCTGTGACGCACGCGCGGCCCTGTTCACCGACGGCGAAAATTCGTGGAAGCGGTTCGACGAAATCCTGCGCGAAATCAAGAAATACTACAACCCCGTGTGGGACAGGTGTGTCTGTCTGTGATCTTGTTTGTGTACGTGCTTGGAGCGGCATCAGTACAGCTGCCGCGCAGGAATTTTTTTGTTGCGTTCCGTGTAGGGTATTTTCCTGTTCTCTTGTGGCGTGCACTGCTGTGAACGAGCAGTCGACTGCAACCACGCCCTCCCGAGAAAAACATGGTTGGCGTCGGCCGTGTAACTACTACTGTGTGTACAGTGGTGAGTAGTGCACGTACCTCCCGCCACAGAAGCACCGACGAACAACTCCCGTAGGCAATACTAAATGAAGAAGCGAGGCCGAACACGAAGGAACACGGAAGGTATTGAACAGATTTGTTCTCAAGAACAGTAGTTGGTTTTACGAGAGTAATAATCAGTGATATTGCGTATGTTTCTGTAATAAACGCCCACATGCGCCCGTGTCTGGTGTGTTGTCGTGAGCATCGAACGCGGTGCCTAGCGGTTTGATGTTCATATTTTTTGTCCGCACACCAACGGAATTGCCGCACTTTAAATTTCGAAATGTCAAGAGCCCCGATCACCATACATGTACTATGCGGACAACAGCAGTGTTGAACAAATGCTCAATCGCGTTAGAGCTGCTTTTGGCGGCAACTCGCTGGCGTTTCCCCCCTCCCCCTTCAAAAAAGCAACATAACACCACGGGTGGGAACAGCTTTGGAGATAGGTGGCCCCAGGGCGTACAACATGTTGCGAAGAAAATAAGGTAGACCGCCCATCCCCCACCGTGTTTCCCCCCGATCATCTAAACTACGCATGCAAGTTGTCGCGGTGAGACACACAAAAAACAACGATACACTCATGGCAGACTTATTGTTGCACTCTCCGCACCAAGTCAAAACTGTAGTCACAAACCCTTGTGCGTTTCGCAGTGTGTCGTTTTGCCCTCGGTACGGTGACCCTCTCCCTGGTCGGCCTTCTCTTAAACGATGACGGAACTCATGTGCATGTGGCCCACCGGTGCTCTGTCACTTTGGCCTATTGGCTTGACTCCCGGAACAATATTCTAAACCTCAGCGAAATATACAGTGGTGTGTATTGCTGACATAGTTTCCGCGCCACGGCCCTTCGAAATAAGTCGGATAGAAGAAAACCGATCGAAAATAGCAAGACCAGTTGCGACATGGGTGTGAACTGCTGCCCGTCAACATTCGAAATATGTGTCACCTTCGCGCGTACACACGAGCGAGAGTGCGTTACGACCGCTGCCAATCTCACCCTCTTCCTACCTCTCTCTACCTTGTTCCCGTGCACCCCTGGCCCAGTTTCGTCGAAGGACAACCTGGGGACCAACTACCGTCGGGCAGCCAAGACGAACGCCATCGAGTACCTTCTGGACGAAGTCTACCGCATGGAATCCGGAACGGGGGACGCAGAGGACCCGATCGAGTTGGAAGAGCGGGGTGGCGGTGAGGGAGAGGGTTCGGAAGATGACTCTGGGGAATCGTCACCGACGGAGAGCGAGGACGGCGGGGGTGGAAAGCAGAAAGGAACGGAGGAAGCAGTGGAGCCACAGGAAAGCAGCGGTGATGACTCACCGGCGGGGGAGGGGGGGATGAAGAAGGAGCCAGAAGACGATACGCCGGGCAACGGGGATGATGCCCCCTCCGAAGAAATCTCACGAGAAGAGGGCGGGTTTCCGCAGAGGCCCAACAAGTGGATGCACCAGTATCTCCTGACGTTCTGTTTGATCGGAAGGCCATGCAGCAGCGAGGACCCTGACCTCCGAACCGCACGCAAAACATCCGGACCCAAGGGTCGCGGCGCGTCCGGGGCCAAGGGTCGCGGCGGGAAGCAGAAGGCGAAGAAAGCGTCATCCGGCACTAGCGACGAAAGCGGGTCGGAGGCGAGCGGTGCGTACACCGAGGTTGATCTGTCGTCCAACGCGATCCGGATATTCACAGGGGCCGGCGAAATTCAGCCGAGCACAGGTGAAGAAGGAGACTGCTGCGGTAGCGGCCGCCAACGCGCAACTGCAGGCCCGCCGCGTCCAGGAGACCAACACAGGCAAGCTGGTGACGGCCGTGGAAGCTCTGTCGGCGGCTGTTGTGTCGAGGCAGTCTTTGGATGAAGAGGCCGCAGGCAGGGCTCGCTTGGCNGGTAGCGGCCGCCAACGCGCAACTGCAGGCCCGCCGCGTCCGGGAGACCAACACAGGCAAGCTGGTGATGGCCGTGGAATCTCTGTCGGCAGTCTTTGGATGAAGAGGCCGCAGGCAGGGCTCGCTTGGCGGATGCTCGAGAGGCAAAGGCGAAAATTGCAGACCTCAAGGGGATATTGAAGTATGCACCATCCGAACAATAAAAGATGGAGCTGCGAGCCGCAATAATGGCCGCGTACGAGCAGCCCGACAGCTACTTCTTG